GGAGTCGGCCCCTGGATGGGAGCCTGCTGACGGGTGAGATCCTTGTTGAGGGGGGTCCGCAAGGCAGAAGTGGCCTCGAGGGCGCGCGATACGCTGCTTTATGAAAGGTCCAACGTGTGGTGTTCGCCTGTGTGTGGGTGTGATGCATGCCCATCGTGCAGCATGCAGAGTGACAGCCGGCCTAGAATTGGGGGCGAGCGGGAAAGACAGGGCGTTCTGTTGTGGGAGCCGACGCCTTGGTTGCAGCTGGCTGCGCCCGCCAACGCCATGGCGCTATGCGGCCGGCCCCCCATGCCCCCCCTCCCGCAGGTGAGTCCGCGCCTGCCCTGCGCGGCCCAGGCGCCGCCGTCCACGCGGGGACGCTCAACGTCGGCTCCGGCGTGCTGCGCGTCCGCACGACCGCGGCGGCGGGCGACACCGCAGTCGCGCGGATGGCCGCGCTGGTCGCGCAGGCGACCGGCCAGCAGAGCCCGTCAGAGGCGCTTGTCGCACGGGTGGGTGCGCGCGGGGGCGACAGGGGCGCGCCCCTGGGCGCCTGCAACGGCCGCTGGGCGTGCGGCGTCGGCTGGGCTGTACAATGCCGGGCCGCACTGCTGACCGAACTGTCGCCCGTCAGGGTTCTTTCTCGACAACATCAGTCCTGATGTTGTCACACCCAGACACCACCTCGCCCCAGCATGGCGGCCTTGTCGCTCCGAGAAGCCATCCACTCTTCTTGTTTTCCGAGAGGAACGCGCTCTGCCGCGCCCCTCGGCCCGCAGTTCGCCCGGATCTACACGCCCGTGGTCATGGCCGTCTGCGTGCTGCTGGCGTTCCTGCCCTGGGCCTTCACTTACGACGCCGACAGGCGCAAGGTGCGCGGCTTGGGCGGGTGCGTCCGTCCGTCCCCGGGGGAGAAAACAGGGGCGAGAATGACGCGTAAACTGCGAGCGAGCCTCGCTCCTCTCAACGATTGTGCTGCCCCTCAGTTCCCGCCGGCGAATCCTGCATAGCGGACGCTCAGTCAGACAGCCATTTTTCGAACTAATTCGAAAATCGGAAGTCGCGGCCCCTCTGAACCCCACCCCCAGGAATGGGTGTACCTCAGCCTACAGGTCCTCGTCACCGCCTGCCCCTGCGCGCTGGTGCTGGCGACGCCTGCGACGGTTGTGTGCGCGCTGGCGCGCGCGGCGCAGCACGGGGTCCTTATCAAGAGTGGGGCCGCACTGGAGGCGCTGCGGCGGGTGTGCGCATGTTTGCACGCGCGCGTGTGTGTGTGTGTGTGTGTGCGTGTGTACGTGTGAGTTCGCACATGCGTGTGTGTATGAGTGTGTGCACGTGATGTGTGTGTGCATGTGCAGGACAGGCACACACGTGCGTGCCGGCGCAGGCTGGGCAGCGGCGGCTGTTGTCGGACGCGCGAGGTTCATGGGGGCTGCACTCCGAATTGAAAGCCAATGAGATCCCATGCTTGGTGCTGCAACTCAGCCCGCCCCAAGAGGGTCCCCCTGCCGACCTGTCACCCGATTGACCGTTGCCACGGCACGCACGTGCGCACACACTCGTGCGCGCTAATTCCAACGGCCGCGGCCGCCTGCAGGTGGAGGTGGTGACTTTTGACAAGACCGGGACGCTGACTAAGGGCAACTTCCTCGTGGTTTCCTTCGAGGTGGGCCGGGACCGGAAGACAAGCAGGGTGACGCTGCGGGCAGAGGGAGGACGCGTGGGTAAACATACGGGAGTCAGACTGGTGCCGGCAGCTGCTCAGGGCCTGGGGTCATTCCAGACGGCTGGGGGAGGGGCAGGCCGGGCCATAGCAAGCACGGGCTGCAAGGTAGCGGCGCACTCATATTCCAAAGGCCGCGGCCGCGTGGGTGAGGTCACAGGGGTGATAGGAGCGAACGCGGGCCCAGGGCAGGGAGCTCCGCGCCCTCACGCCGCCGCCTGCCCGCGGACGAGCCCCTCCATCCGGCCCGGCCCGCGCGCTGCACAACACTCGCCGCCACTTCCCCTCCCCGGCCGTCGCGACGGGCGCACGCGCGTTGCCATTCCGCAGCCGCTGGACGGCTGGTCGCGGCACGACCTGCTGCGCCTGCTGGGCTCCCTGGAGCGCGGGAGCAGCCACCCGCTGGCGGCCGCGATCCTGGGATATGCGGCTGCCCAGGTGCGCAGCAGGGGCCGCCTGTCCGCTGACAGCGGGCGAGGGGTTGGATAGGAAATGAGGGGAAGGTGATGGTGCGTGCGTGGGCCGCTTTGGTGAGGAACAGAATGGGGACCTGCGGCCGGCGCCGTTATGAGAGTCCGCAAACTGGGCCTGTTGATGCGGGCTTTTCGAGAGGGTGCAGTGTGTCGGTTGGCCTGCAGCTGTGGCCCTCTCTCTCTCCCCCTCTGTCTTCCTTGAGTCCTTTCTGTCGCGCCCCTTCTCGCCTGCAGTTGGCTGAAATGGTGTCATGATCTGACACCCACTAGCCCGCCATACCCTACCTTGCGCACATCCACACCCCTTGGACACCCAATTACATGGTACCGTACCGACCCCTGAACCCCATCTCTGCACACCCACACACCCGTCACCCACGCGCCCGTCACCCGACACACCCGTCACCCGGTCACCCCCTCACCCCCAGGGCGTCCCCTGTGACGCCGTGGTTGAGGGCGCCGAGCTCGTCCAGGGCGCCGGCCTCACCGCCACCGTCGACGGCCGCCGCATCGCGGCCGGCTCAGAAGCCCTCGTCGCCGCGGCCGGCGCCGCCGCCGCCGCGGGCCCTGAGCTCGATGCGGCGCGGCGCGCGATATCAGCAGACGCCGCTACCGCGTGCTTCGTATCGGTCGACGGCCGGCTGGCCGGCTGGCTCGCCGCGCGCGACGCGGCGCGGCCGGAGGCGGCGGAGGCGGTGGCGATGGTGGCCAGCCTCGGCTGCCGCGCGGCGATGCTGACGGGCGACACGGTGGCGGCGGCGGCGGGGGTCGGCGCGGCGGTGGGGATCGCGGAGAGGCGCGTGCACGCGGCGCTTCTGCCGCGGGACAAGCTGGACAAGGTGGGTTCAAAAGGGAGCCAGGGGGTGCGGGGTTGAAGGGTAGGAGAGGCGTTTCCAAAAACCACAGGTGCTGTGCTTGCATGTGCTTGCATGTGATGTATGTGTGTGCTGGAGGCGGTTGGCAGGAAGAGAGGGATCGAGGGCCGGCGGAGGCGATGCTTGTGTTGACAAGGATGTGAGAGGGGGAAGGGGGCAAATGTGTTCGGAGGGACAGATCGGTCAAGGAGGCCAAGAGGTGATGAGCACACCTGGCTTCTTGATTGAAACAAAAGGAGCGTTCTGTGCGTGTGTTTGTGCATGTGCGTGTTTATCAGTATGTGCATGTTTGTTAGCCTGTGTGTGATTGTTAGTATGTGCGTGTTCAGGTTTGGCTTGTTTGATGGTGCTGCAAGAGCACCGTGGCACAGGTGCCTTCCCTGAATGAACCATGGGCTGTCCCACCAACCCACAGGTCGCCGAGTATAAGCAATCCGCCGCGCCGCGCCCCGCCGGCTCCGCCTGCTGCGCCGGCGCCCTCCCCGTCGCCGCCTGCTGCCTGCGCGGCGCTCCGCGCCCGCGGCGCGTGTGGGTGGCGCACTGCGGCGACGGCGTCAACGACGCGCCGGCGCTGGCAGCGGCGGACGTGGGCATCGCGATGGGCGTCGCCGGCAGTGCGGCGGCCCTCGAGGCCGGATCAGGTGAGGGCAAACACCCGCCTCACAGCTGGCCAGGCGCGCCACGCGCTGTCGACGCACCCTTGACACACGACCCGGTTTCTGTTGTCGTTTCCGGGCACCTGCTGCTGGGCCCAGCCCAACTGCACGCGGGGTGTTGGCATCACCTCGCCAAGCAGCCACCATGCCGGCTGCTGACCGCTCGCAAGGCATCTCCTTGGGCCGGGGGCCGCCGGTGCTTTGCCCCCATCGACACACGTGCGCATGTGCACACACACACACACAAAAAACACCCCGGCATCCCCACCACCGTCACTCGCCATCCCTCCGCTCTTTCGACACAGTGGCCCTCTTCACCAATGACCTGAGGGCCGTGCCGGCCGCCCTGATGCTGTCGCGTGCCGCGGGGCGCGTCATCCTCGCCAACATCGCCTTCGCCATCGTCACGAAGGCGAGCGGCGCTCGCTCGGGCGCGCGCGTGCGCACACACGCATGCACGTGTGCGCGTGCGCCCTGCGCGAACAGGGTGCACATCGGCGCTCTTTCCGCTGTCTCTTTCCGCTGGTTTAGGGTTTAGGGTTTGTCAGGGACCAGCTGAAAGAGACAGCGATCCTTCAAGGCCGTCGACGCGACCCCCCTCGCTGTCGGGGCGGCAGCGCGGCAGCATGATGCTGCCCTCCGCAAGCAACGACGCGCTGGCTCGTTTCCATGTCGCGTTGCTCTATTCGGCACAGTGTGCCGAATGTGGCGTCACGCCGTGTGCTGCCACGGTTTTGTGCGCCCTGCGCTGGCCGCAGTCGCCTACCTAGACACCACCACCCACATACAACCGTAGCCAATGCCACCCGCTCACCACCCCCGCACGCCTTTGGCTCACCACCACTCCTGCAACCCAAATCCGCACCTGCACCCTTCAAACAGTCACCAGCCCCGACTCATCCCCGCACCATACAACCCCCACACTCGCCGCCAACCCACCCCAGGTGGCCGTCTTGGTGCCAGCTGTCATGGGCAGCTTCACCCTCTGGGGGGCCGTGCTTGTGGATGTGGGGGCAGCCCTACTGGTTATGGGCAACGCGCTGAGGTGGGCGGGCGGCTGCCAAGGGAATGCGGAGCGAGCGCCTCCTGGCAGCTGCTCGGCCGCGCGGGAGCTAGCGCGGCGGCGACGGTGGCCGCCACGTGGCGCGATTGGCGGGACACGCAGTTGTATGGAGCTTGTCAATGCCAAGCGCTGACAAGCCGGCGTTAAGAATGTGTGCACGCCGCCGCGCCCCGCAGGCTGCTCAAGTGGCAGTGGCCCGTCGTGCGGGCGGACGGCGGCGCCGCGCCATGCCGCGGCGCAGAGTGGGGCGCGTCACGCGCAGTCAACCCGGCTGCGGGCGCCCGCGGCGGCGCCTGCTGCGCAAAGGGCAGCTGCGGCGCCGGCGCGCAGGTCGGCGCCACCTCTGAGTGCGCCAAGGGCGGCGCCCGCCACAGCAGCGCCACCGGCTGTGCGAAGGGTGGTGCCGGCACCAACAACACTGCTTGCTGTGCCAAGGGCAGCTGCGGGTTTCCCCCGTCAACCGTGGGTGCCACCGGCTGTGCCAAGGGCGGCGCCAGCATCGGCAGCACTGACCGCTGTTCCAAGGGCAGCTGTGGAGTCACCCCTTCGACTGTTGGTGCAACCGGCTGTGCCAGGGGTGGTGCTGGCCGGAGCAGCGCCGCGAGCTGTGCCAAGGGCACCTGCGGCGCCGGCGCGCAGATCGATGGCGTTGCTACATGTCGTGTTGAGGGCGACGCCAGTGCCAGCAGCGCCGCCTGCTGCACCAAGAGCAGCTGCGGTACCAGCCCGCAGGCCGCCAACCACGCCAAGCACGGCCACACCGCCTGCTGTGCCAAGGGGAGTTGCGGCGCGAGCGCGCAGGGCGCCAGCGCTGCCGGCTGCGCCAAGGGCGGATCGCGGCCTGCGTGCGCAGCACCCTGCTCCCGAGGCAGCTGCGGCGCCGGCGCTCCAGGCGTCCGCGCTGCTGGCACGGCTAGCAGCACCCCAAGCTGTGGCCGCGGCCATCAACATCTGTGATCAATTGTCTGCAGAGCATACCCTGCTCATCTTGGGAAGATCCGTTTGTATATCAGCCTCAGCTTCCCACCAGGGACTAGCCGCCAAGTGGGCTATTTCACAATCCTCGTCTCTGGTTGCGCCCCTTCCGGCGCATGTAAGTGCGCCATGTGCTACACCCTTTTCATGGCCATCGCCATGGCCCAGGCCGGGCCGAGGGATCCGGGACCGGCCCTGTACAGTATTGATGTTACTCATGCTATTGTGCCGCCCGTCTCATCCAGCAGTTTGTAATCATTGTCGCACTAGGATGATTTGGGTGCCATATAACTGAGTTGTTGCCGTGTGGCGGGGCACTGTGCGGACCTCAGCACGTGCTTGTTCGCAACACGGGATGTGTTTGTGGCGG